TATAACGGAGCGTGAGACATTAGCTGTCGTCATCGCCCTGGAGCACTGGAGGTGTTACTTGGAGAACGGTAGGCCATTCACTGTCTATACTGATCACAGTGCGTTAAAATGGTTTCTGTCTCTCAGGAACCCTACCGGTAGATTAGCTCGCTGGGGTGTAAGATTGTCCTCATTTCATTTAGAATTCAAGCATCGTAAGGGTGTGGACAATGTGATCCCCGATGCCCTCTCTAGAGCTCTTCCCGTCTCGGCGATTAGTACTTCCGGTTCGAACATGGTGACATCGGATTCTTGGTACAAAAATATTTATAATTCTTACCTTTCTAAACCGCAAACTTTCCCGAATTTCATTATCAAGGATGGCAAGTTATTCAGGCGTGCCAAGAATAATCACTCACTTTCATCCGAGTTCTTATGGAAGGAGGTTGTACCTTTTGAGCTACGCGAGCAGGTGATCAACGAGAATCATGCGGAACCCACGGCTGGACATCTCGGCGTTTTTAAAACATACCATCGTATTGCCTTGCGCTACTTTTGGCCTGGTATGCACCAGGACGTGGTGAAGTTCGTTGCCTCCTGCGAGAAGTGCTTGTCTTACAAGGCTCAAAATCACCAAACCTTGGGAGCAATGGGCCGCCCGAAGCAGTGTTCTAGGCCATTTCAAATGATTTCAATTGATTTGATGGGCCCCTTGCCTGTCACTAGGAATCAGAACACTTATATCTTCGTAGTCACATGCTGCTTCTCGAAATATTGCCTAATTTTCCCATTAAGAAGTGCTACTGCCACTACAGTCACGAAGTTACTGGAAGAGTCTGTTTTCCTCGTCCATGGTGTCCCTCAGACCATATTTTTGGACAATGGCGGCCAGTATATTTCGAAGGTCACTGAGTCATTTTTCCATCGTTATAAGGTCCCTAACGTGTTCTTCACGCCAAAGTACACCCCTCAAATTAATTTGGTAGAACGACATAATCGTTCAATTATCACGTGTATCTCAACTTTCGTGGACAACGATCATCGCAGTTGGGATACATATATTCCGAAGGTTCAGTTCGCCCTCAACAATTCGGTGAGTAAGGCGACTGGTTTCACTCCATCCTTCCTGGTGTTCGGCAGGGAGCTCGTTACATGTGGCTCACATTATTTAGATAACGATTTAGGCGATGAGGTTTTATTCCTTCCCGTGACATCTACGCGGAGGATTTGGGTTGTCTTAAGGAAGTTTTCGATACTGTAAAGGCCAAATTGTGGCATGCTCATGCTAAAAACTCAACCCACTATAACCTTCGGCGCAAGCCTATGGAATTTAACATTGGTGACACTGTAATGAAACGCGCATATGTTTTAAGTGATAAGGATAAGTTCTTTAGTAAAAAACTTGCGCCAAAATTTATTAAATGTCGCGTCATCGGTAAAAAGTCACCCCTAGTTTACATCCTGGCTGACATGTCTGGGATGTGCCAGGTGCCAAAGATATTGGCACCTGGCACATCAAGGATTTGAAATTAACAGGACACAATACTTAGTCATATATGTATACACTTTTTTTTAAAGTGGTACTTCCCCGTGTGGTGTCGGGTTAGAATAGCACCACCCCATTTCTTCCTGTGGGTGTCGTAAAAGTCGACTAAGGGATAGGGTAGTAGTGTGTTGTGGGAGATGGGCTAGCAACCATCACTGCAATATCACAAGATCTCCATGTTACACCTACAAGTACACTTAATTAAGTTGCATGTGTTCTGCTTGTTACTTAGGAATACACTAGCGTTATATTTATATATATACATGGTGCTCGTTTTACCCTGGTCACACTTTTACACCTTTAGCTCTAGGTATTCGTATGGGTCTTCCAGTCTAACCGATGCTGGAACACCTTGCCAAATGACAGGATGCGTCAACTACCCTATTGATGTTCGTTGACGCTGATATAATCGCGTGAAGTATGAGAGATGTTGTATAAAAGGATAATGCGAATACATAACAATTTAGAGCGGATTTTATTAATTAAGAATAATAAAATCCTTATGTAGCGCGGGGTACTGTAACGTTGCACGTACATGTATGCATAATTATAATTAAACGGTTTATTAAAATTAAATAAACATTTAATAAACTAAATAAAAATAAAATAGAAGTTATTAACAAAAATAATTCTATAATTAACTTAGGTATCCTATTAATAAAACAAATCAGTAAACTAAAAGAACGAATTAAATAATAAATCAAATATTAAAATATTGTATTTCGAACAAACACTCTGACGCTTCGTTACTCTATGCGCTTTGCAACTCTCGCGTCAGAGTTTTACCCGACCGGTATCATTCCACGGCGTCGCGCTCCCGGTCATTCTCCGTCCGAGCGCCCTGGGAGGCGCACACTACCACTGCAGCCGCGTTCACAAGCTCTGCTTTGTGTCCTCGTACGCGCTTGCAAATTTTAATCCCATTTTGGAAAAAGTTTAAAATAATATAATAATTCCGGCACTGTGGCCGTATAGTTTTTTCGTTAATTCTCGTCACCGAGACCTCCGTATCGTCTTGCACCCCGTAAGGGTAAGTGTTGAAACGTTACCTAGTTTTAAGTAGTGAAAGTGTTTTATAGGTAGTGTAATTTGATCATGCCAGGCTGTTTGCTTTTAGCTATTTAATTGCCACGTTATTAGTGTTATTTGCATGTAAGTAATGTTTGTAGCCGCTGTGCGCGTTGGCAAAAGTACCGTTACAAAATGGCGTCTCATACATTTCGCACCGCGATCAAATATCGCAAGTCACCATCATGTTTCAACCAATGCACAGCCTAAATTAGTTATCCTGGTACATTTAAACAGTATTTTACACTTGCCGTAATTTTAATTCATGTGTATTTTAATTGCGCCTCACCGCTATGACGCTTGCCTTCCATTCCGCCTTGTAACTCCGTTCTGATTATGAACACCCGCCAGCTACTCTCTGTGCTCCCATCTACTGCTAGCCTGCGATATACCGGGGGTTCATAATCGGCGGCATTTTATTACCTGGACCTAAATTTGGACGACGTTGTTTCCAGGGTGCAATTTTACGACTACAACCGTGGCGGTCGTCCTTCTTAAGAGGGCCTAGGCCTCCCCCTCGACGCCGCCACCGCCACAGCCAGCTGCCCACGGCGCTCCCCGTGAACAGTCCAACCCCCCCGGCCCTGCTCGACCACCTCGCGGCCACATAGGGGAGTACCTGACCCTGCCAGTGAAGCCAGAGTTTTTTAAATTATCGGAACCACGCCCACGACCTTTTCTTTTACCAATATATAATTTTTTTTATGACTGGTTGTTGCCTTATTTTAAAGACCAACCGCCACAATGTGAACTATTAGAGAAAACGAAGAAACAAGTGATTCGATGTTAACATAAACCTCAAGTTATTTTGATCGATTAGGCGTCTTATGAACTTGAGTTACTGTCGTCATCAACTGTCCGCTGGGTAGACAGTTTACTCCCGTTCTATCAGAAATAGCTGTTAAATATTTGATTTCTTCAGCTACATCTGTAGCATCTGTGCTTCTACAATCTATCTTTTAGTGCCCAATAATCGTAGTAGTCAAACAACTGAACCTATAAAACAACGAGTATTTTTGAAAACTCTTACTGAAAAATAATGTTACACATAATTGTCTTTAAATTAAAGAATAATTACTCAGAACTATAATCTATCATTTTCATACTTTTATAATTTAATTTGCCTAATAAATATAATCATCATCATATCTACAGCCCTTCACAAGTCCACTGCTGAACATAGGCCTCCCCCAAGGTATGCCACAAAGCGGTCCTGAGCCACCTGCATCCATCGACTTCCTGCATGTCTTACCAGGTCGTTACTCCATCTAGTGGGGGGTCGCCCTACACTTCGCCTACCGGTACGAGGCTGCCACTCGAGAACCTTTTTTCCCCAACGGTTGTCGGTTCATCGAGCTATATGGCCGGCCCATTGCCACTTCAGTTTACTAATCCGTTGGACTATGTCGGTCACTCTGGTTCTACTGCGGATATCCTCATTTCTAAGTCTATCACGCAGAGAAACTCCGAGCATAGCCCTCTCCATAGCTCGCTGAGGATTTTTTAATTATTTCCCCGAAACTCTTCACCGCTGCATTGGAAGACGTTTTCAAGCTACTGGACTGGAAAGGATACGGTATTAACATCAATGGCGAGTACATCAATCACCTTCGATTTGCCGACGATATAGTCCTTATAGCAGAATCGCTGGAGGACCTAAGCACTATGCTCAATGACCTCAATAGAGCCTCCCAACGGATAGGTCTTAAGGTGAACATGGATAAAACAAAGATCATGTTAAATGTCCATGTCACACCTATGCCGGTAGTTGTTGGGAGCACTAAGCTCGAAGTTGTTGACGAGTACGTTTACCTTGAACAAATAGTCTGTCTAGGTAAGTCCAACTTCAACCGAGAGGTCAATCGACGGATTCAACTCGGCTGGGCAGCGTTCGGGAAACTACGACGCATCTTCTCGTCAGGTATACCTCAAAACCTGAAAACTAAGTTGTACAACCAGTGCGTGTTGCCAGTGGACGTGGTCCTTCACTGCTGGCCGTATAAATATAATAAAATCGATATATCGAAAATCGGATATTTTAAAAAATATCAACAGTCCTAATTCGAACTGATCAGTCGGACTGATCAGTTGAAATAGCCGTGTGTGTGGAACTTTCTTTGGTTTTAATCCTTTTGAACTGATATCAGTTCAACTGATCAGTTTAACTGACCGTGTGTGTCGTAACAATAAACTCTGCTGATTAACACTTATAAACTTCGTACCACAGCGGTCAAACCATGTTTATCTTTATCACAATTAACAAAATAGTACGTACTAAGATACGGCCTTCAATTGTATTCCACCAGTAAGAAAGTAAATAAACTTTGATAAGATACAAACTACCAAACACCCTACCTCAAATTATGCCCAAAATATGGAATTTGATGTGATGTTTTTTTTCTTTTAGGAATTCATTTTATATCCTTGGCGTTATTCACTACGGCAGCCCAGCAGCTATAATACCTTACAAGCTATCGGCGAATATGCCGCAAGAAAATCGCGACTACCGGACGGACGTCTGTACGAGGTATTTTTATATAATAAGAAAGAAGGAAAGAAACACTTTATTTTGCCACAACCCATTGACATACGCACAACAATAAACACATTTATAACTTAAAAGTGAATTTATTAAATTTGCACTGCAAAAAAGGTCATCAGTCATCACTAATACGACGAGATAATTGTCATCATCATTAAAGCCCTTAATAATAATGTCCTCCAGACCGAATTTCGGTCACGGCGGCCTGCCTCAACGGAGGCTAGCCATCGCCGCAGGACAGGAAGCTCAACTCTCATAATCCGATGGGACGGTAAACCGACACAACCGGAGAGAGATAAGGCACAGGACCAACTGCTCTACGTGCTTTCCGAGGCACGGGGGTGAGACACCGCCAACTTTCCTGACTCCGGGCAGCTACTGAGAATTTCTTGACGGAAAATCTCAATAATTAATATTTTAGCCCGACCCGGGATTCGAACCCAGGACCTCATGATCAGCAGTCGCACTATTACAACCACTAAACCAACGAGGCAGCCCATATACCTATTCATTAATAACTTCGAGCTAGTGCTTCCAACAACTGCCGGCTTGCGTGTGACATGGGCGTAACACAACATGACCTTTGCTTTGATGATGACATGACAATAGACATTATTGAGCATAGTGTCGAGGTTCTCTACTGATTCTGACGTAATAACTTTACTGTCGACAAGTCAGTATATAAGGGGATATAACGTCACCCTGTCTTCCACTTCTTTGCAGTTGGATAGTTACTCGGATAGCCATCATAGCTCTATTGTACAAATACTTCAGTACTTATATATACTGACAGTCAACTTGGCACCCCTGAGGGGACTGTAGCACCACCCAAATTTTGATTGAATAAAAGGTCATAATCCACATACGCAAGACAAAGTGGCAGTTTGTACTCTTCGGTTTTCTATACAATTTTCCTAAGGATATGTATGTAGTCTATGGCATGAAATCTTTTTTAAAAACTGGTTTGTTCGGAAAGCTATAGTCAAAACTGTTTTTGAGATGGTACGTAACGACTCTCGAAAACAGCACTTGTAAGAGCGATTTTTCACCTGCTTTCAGAAGCTCCGCAGAAATCTAAAATTAATGTGGTAGAACTAGAAACTACGACAACTACTAATACCAGGATTTTACTCATCAGGAGTGAGAACGGGTCTCAGTTATACTCTTGATCGAGGATAGATATAGGTGTCTATGGGCCACAGCATTCACTCACTATGACGTGACTGTATGAGCCCACATTCTATAAAAAAGTCCATCCTCATCCGGACATAATATTCCCTATGACTAGATACAAAATGCATTTGAAACCATCGAAATAAAATCTAATATATTTGAGTTACTAAAAGTGTAAAATTAATGCGAATTCATATAATTAAGTGGCCTAATAGAAATTTTAGACTAGGTACAAAGTAAATTATTCGAAGTAAAAATTTTCTTAAATTTTTTATTTTTGCGTAGTTATATAACATGTATTTTGGTGTATTGTCAGGTGCACCAAGGTAGTAACGATGCACGTGTGGCGGGCACATTAAGCGACTACATATCTGGTGTAGTAGGCACTGAATTGGTTTATGTTGTCAAACCCTACCACGAACAGTATCCTAACTACACGGATAAAGAAACTCTCGGTAATGTAATAATAAATGTATTGTAATGTACTTATGAACCATTAATATAACCTAGGCGATTGGCGCCTTATTAATTAAGATCAAGTAAGTAGCTCGAATTGCGGTTGCTTAAATTTCAACGTATGCGAGGAACTCGAGTCCCAATGCTGGCACCAACAAAATTGTAGATTTTGTACTGATTTGCCACGTGCTGCAACTGTTAAAAATAAAATGTTATTCATAAGTATTAATTAAATCTTACGGCTAACGCCTGAGTTCCTTTTTACTGACCGTCGTCACGCTACATGCTCCGCCAAACGCTCTTCACGTTGTGTAAGGGATTTATAGGTTATTTAAAATATCAGCCGATCGATCCAATAGCTTGAGATAGTCTCTCTTAGAAAAAGTAATAAATTGTAAGGTGGTAATTAAAGCGATGAAAAAACATTGTGTTCTTATAATTTAATAATTTAATTTTTTGCGTTCTACTGCTTAAAGTTTTTTTTTTATTATTACAGACACTTACGTTACTAAATCGATATCAACAATACTCAGTTTAGTGAGAGGCTGGCGTAAGAGTACAAAGCAAAACACCCTTACATTTTTTGGACGGGACGTTGAATTTTAATATAATATTAATTTTTAAATAAATATTAAAACATATATGCCTTTTATTATTTAAATATACATTATCTTTTTCATAATTTTCCCTTATTTGACGCACCGTTCTGTTTACCAATTCCAGCATTAGTACGAGTAACTAATGGTGGCCACACACGGTCAGTTAAACTGATCAGTTCAAACTAAAACTGTTGATATTTTTTTAAATATCGGATTTTCGATATATCCATAAATAACTTATATGTAAAACTCCGGTATAAATATATTTATAATGAATGATATATCGAAAATCCACTATTTTAAAAAATATCAACAGTTTTAGTTTGAACTGATCAGTTGGAATGATCAGTTGAACTGACCGTGTGTGGCGTCCATAACAAGTGATGATTACAGCGACTAAAATAAATGCTACAGATGCGTGCCGCACCGGTTCACCGCCTATCAGCCTAAAATTTTATTTTATTACTATTTTTGATCTGCTAAACTGCTGTTCTGTATTGATCTATTATATGAGTCTGAAGCGTATAAAAGAAAGATTTTCTTAATTAACATAGTCGCCTTTTACCACATCCACGGGACTAACTAAATGGGGTGATATCTTACGGCGCCACCACAAGAAAGTCTTTTTAAAGTTAATATACGTTAATTGGTTTTATTTCTCAAATAATTAGAGTACATGGGCGAAACGAACATGTTTTTCAAGAGCACACTCTGTTAAAACAATGCTAGATAGCATATTTTTAAATTTTCTCTAAAAGTTGGAGTCTCAAACTTTTCAAATGGGGTATTAGATACTTATGGATAGGCCGTGGTTCAATCAACGGGCCTAAAAATCCACTTTTTTCCCCAAGTACAATTCAATTCATACACTAATGGGCCAATTACATGCTGCAAGTTTCTTGCCTACAAATTTAAATTCTACAAAATTAAATTCTTGCATACAATTACATGCTGCAAGTTTCTTGCCGACAAATTTAAATTCTACAAAATTAAATTCTTGCATACAATTAAATGACTTGCATAATCTAAACAACACGTTACACGTTACATGGTCTAAACAAGCACATACAATAAATTTCTAATTGGACTTTCTCTGCATTTGCAAATATGAGTGCACAGGGTGTGTTGATCGTTGCTGCTTTTCTCAGACAAGAAATATTGAGATCACATCATAAAAAAAGTGTTGGATCAAAAAATGGATAGCAAAATACTTTTAGTCCGAAATACGCAGAAGGTTCTGGGAACATCTAACAATATTTATGTAGAATTACATAAACAGGAAACGAAGATTATTTTAAGGACATGTTTCGTGTGATCAGAACCCAGTTTTATTATTTGTTAGATAAAGTTGATTCTTCTATACAAAGGCAAAATACAGTAAGTATCCCATAAACACTCATGACTTCGATAAATCTCAATGAACTTTATTAAAGGAGCAGTACCAAATTTTAATACTGACTCATTTTTAATAAACACTTCTCTTTGAAAACCTTCAACACTGTAAACAAAAATTTGCCAATTCAAATACGTGCAATACTTGAAGCAACACGTCAAAAATGGCATAGGCACGTACAAGGCTGTGTTTAGATATTCTAGTTCTTCTAGTTATAGGTATTTTAGTCCTGCAGTTCTGGTTTTAGTTTCGTCCGAGCAGGAATAGCATTACATTACATTACAAGTATTGAAACGAAACTTGTCGAATAGATCAAGAATGTTACGTGTTGTTTAGACCATGCAAGTTGTACGCACCAAGACAAGAAACTTGCATCATGTAAATGGCCCATTAGACAAGTCAGAACTTGAAAGCACTTATCTCCTAAACGTCATTGCCTTGGTGTAAACAAAAGACACTATGAATTATTTCTTGTCAAGACTTGCATTCAATAATCACATTTAATCATCCGCGTGTAAACAGTTGCTTACAATTCTTAAATGGCAATTGTTGTTTACTTAATTACATTCAGTAATTGCTCTTGTTTGTACAAAAAATTGTGTCATGTAAATGGGCCTTTAAATTACTAATTTTTAATCATATTAAGTGTTGCCGTTACCGTTACGAATCGAGTTCTGAAACAATTGAGTTTTTGATAAGTTTGTCCTATTTGTATACCTAATAGAAATATTTAAGAAAATGAATTCTTAAAAAAAATTATCCCCGCATAAAAATATCCAGATATGCCAAACCTGCGCTAATGACGTTTAATCGTAACTTGATCGTGTTTCTTGATTAGAATTGCTTCGGGAGTAAACTTTTAAGTCAGGTTCGAAACAGTCAATTTGAATCGAAACGAATTCAAAATCAATTTCAGGAGTAAGCCTACAGGTTATACGGGGGCAGGTTAAGCCAGGCTGTTTGATTTTTTGCTCTTTGTTGGAGCTACGGAAACGCTTTCGTGCCAAAAACCACCCACCATAACTCAAGTTTAAATTTTTTTTCTCTTTATAGACACAAATAGGAATAAACTTGAGACTATATTTTAAGTATTAACCGAGATGTTTTAACCTCGGTTGATACTTAAAATAGCTCGATTAGCTTGTAATTTTTATTTAAAAATATAAACGTTCATCAATAATCATAAAAAATAACAACCAAATAATTTCTTGTCAACATTTTAATAACTCTGATCGTCTAAAAATAAACAACATAGATAGATAGATAGATACAAAGTGAGCAAATATACACTATTTACAATATCCTGTATCTAATATCATCTGGTTCGATCTGTAGTGGTGACATTTTTTCTTAACATCGAGATATCTATTTTCCAAGCACCTGTAAGTGCTTCGATTGCATTTAGTAGTAACTTCTGTTTCGTGTTATTTTCCTTGAGATCATTTGTATGTAGGAGACTCAGGTACAGTGAGACCTGATTTAGATGCTGCAGTCTTTTTAAAATGGAGTCTTTGAGTTCCCTGACGTCTGTTTGACGCCAATATTTTAAGTTTCTGCCAATTACTGTGGTAATATGTTCCCTTATGTCGTTTAAACACGCTCCCTTCCCCACATTAGCCTGAAATAAGAAAATGTATATTAATCCAATTCCAATGTTTATATCGAATTCATATAATTTGAGTAATTAAATATTATAAAAATATGTAAGAATGATAATACCCGTAATACATAATAAGATAAAAAAATTCATTTCGAAAGTATTTTCTTTTAATTTTTTTCTTTTAAATTTCGATGTCATTTAATTCGAGCAATTAAATAATATCAAAATATGTAAGAATGATAACAATATAAGATTAAAATTTTTCATTTCGAAAGTCTTTTCTACTGTCGAAGATGAATGTAGTCCACACTAAATTCCGAACTTAAAGATAAAATAATAATTAGTATGTAAATGATGTCAAATTCTGCAACATTTGATGAGGCAACAGATTCGACGTAGACATAAGGCAACAGTGTTTCCCTATGCTGATGTCATCAATTAAGATGTTTAGAGCTAGCCATGGTAGCGTCAGACAATCCACCACCCGATATCAACCCGTAGATGTCGTAAAAGGCGACATATGAGAATAAAACAGGTGATTGGCAGCAGATATTTCTTGGTTACTCAAAATAATAAACCTGCAGTTGCCAGCCCACCTGCCAAGCGTGGCAACTATGACAATATCCCTCCTATGAGGAGATCTATGGTTAATATCAACGCCCGGCAGTGGACTTTGAATGGTTGTAACTATGACGATGAGAGTATGAGAAGAGAAAACGACTGTATTCGTCCCAAAGTACTCGCATTTTTTTTATAGGATAGGGTGACAAACGAGCACACAATCCACCTGATGGTAAGTAGTTGCTGCGGCCCATAGACATCTACATCTATCACCGATTACGAATCAAAATGTAGATGCGATGTCACCCGTGAGGACTAAGATGGAATGTCTCGTTTCCAGTAAAAAAGGGTCTCCGGTCTCTACACTAACCCTACGAAACACAGCAGCGTTAAGCTACACCGCTGGTATTCTGTGAGTTTGTTTTTGTGTTGTTTTATATTATTTGATGACGAATGAGGCAAAACAGTGATCGTAACTTTGTAATGCTACGCACAATAAGTAAAATCAATCGTGTAAAAGAATCGTGACTGGAAAGTAAAACGGTAAATCACATTTTGCACTGCTTTGAATTCCAGTGACGATATAGATACGAAAATGATTTTAATTAGAAACTGACATCAGAAGAGAAAAAAAAATGTTAAGCAATTATTATTTTATATTTTGTACGCCTACTGGCGGGACATAGAGAACCTACCTTGTATTTTACTATACTATTGTACATATTGAGATCTGTAAATTAACCTATGTTAACAAAATAAACTGATTTCATTTGATTTTAAATGATAATAGAGTTGGGCGTCAATAACATCGATAACATATAACAGACAATGTAACACACACACACATATGATTAATTCAAAAAGTTACGCCAAAATTATATACATATAATGCAAATGACGTTTTATTTAATCATGACCTGCGAAAAAAGAAATATTGAAATTGGTTGGTTAGTTGAATTCCTGTCTAAAGGTTTGATGCAACATAACATGCATAACATATCTTAATATTTTAAGCGAGCAATTCTATATGGGTACTTAAATGACACACTGTTATTAAGACAAATGTATATTTAGAGGCGGAGCAGCCGTTTAGTGGCGGCATAAGAAAATCATAAAAGCAAGAGTGTTTAAATTATATGAGGTGCAAGAGGGAAACTGAAATATGTGCAGCAGCATCTTCTAGAGAAAAAAACTGCGGTTGCGCTTGCATGCGTGGTTAACTACGGCAAATGTTCCCCTATGATATAATCTACGGGGAGAACAATAATCATCAGGTGTATAATATATATATATATATATATATACTAGCTTGCCAGGCAGACGTTGTTCTGCCCCTTTCGACGACCCTTTGTCATGTCCTACTAAAAATCCTAATTCGCAAAAAAAAATTTTTTTTTATTTTTTGCCCACTCATGGGCAAAAGAACTATCCTATCTCTCAAATTGGACTAAACTGCAAAGGTGCGCATATTTGATTATAATCGGTTAAGTAGTTTAGGAGTCCATCGCGGACAAACAACGTGACACGTATTTTATATATATTAAGATATATATATCGGGTGTCCCAGAAGTCGACGTCAAGCCGAAACTTTCTGAAGGCGAGGCCATACTAGTTACCAGAAAAATATAAAAAAAATATATATAAGTCATGTATTTCAGAAATTATAGTAATTTTTTTTTTCGATAATATGTACACCATGAGACAGTTTTTTCATTCCTGTTGCTACAAATATTTACATTTTGCCAATTTTTTTTCTCTTACGTTATCCTGAATAGTGCTGCTGTAACCTGTAATCCTAAACCCTGTGCTGATCACTCCAGCTTGAAAGAAAATGTAATTTTATACCGAACCAAGTTTTCAGAATTAGTTTTTCGCACTACTTCAACTGACCGTCCTGGGAAAAAATTGTACTACGCCAGTTTAGCAAGTAGCTTTAAAAGTTAGCGCATTTAATAAGGATTCTAACGTGGTATAACACTTACTCCATTATTTCTTAGATCAACCATAAAAAATCTTTTGTTAAACAAACTCAGTTTTTAACAAATTTTTGGAACTTACATTAAAACGATTCTAGTGCAACCAAAGCGTTCCTAATGACCACAGCGTGGTTTAAATGAGACATTTTTTTTATATTTTTCTGGTAACTAGTATGGCCTCGCCTATCAGAAATTTTCGGCTTGACGTCGACTTCTGGGACATCCTGTATATATATAAATATATAAATATATAAATATATAAATATATATATATATATATATATATATATATATATATACATACATTTGCCGTAGTTGCCACGCTTGGCAAGCGGATTGGCAACCACATTTTTTTTTACATTTAATAGCTCCTCTACACGATGGGCCAGCGTTGGCCCAGCGAGATGGCCATGCGATGGTTGAAACGCAACTATGCGATGGCGACATTCAGTCGTGAACGAAACGTTTTTCGAGATAGACGTGGATGAATTAGCCGCTGCATCAATATATCTATACAACACGTACTGTTATTTTCTTAATGTGCACAAGAATAGTTATCAAAAAGAAATGGCGTAGAAGAAGACGGTGGATATTATCTATCCATCGCAATAGAACTAAATAATTCCTAAGTCAATTAAGTTTTCTATAAACACAAATAATTAAATAATTATTCAATATAAATAAAGAACAAATTAACAAATTATGTATATGCTCTGATTTTATTAGATCTATGATTAAAATGTTATAACTTCATTATGAGGCCATATATATATATATATATATATATATATATATATATATATATATATATATATATATATTCCACATTTTTTATTCGTTAATTAATAAACAAATCATGAACGGCCACACTCAACAGTCTAACGCTCAAAACTGTGGAATGGGCCACGTGTAGATGCGTACCGCCTTCGCTGGCCTACTACCTTTGATGAGCGGTGGAAAAACCAAAACCGTCGCCATCCCCAAGACCATCGCACGCGCCATAAGCTATCCGACACAACTACGCCCTCCACACGCTGGCCCTGCATAGTGGGCCATCGCGATGGCCCATCGTGTAGAGGGGCTATAATCGTTATTATATCGTTTAATCGTTATTACCGTTATACGCTGCTAAACAAATCAAGAAGTTCAATAAAGGATAATTTCTTATTACTTGATACTGGCAAAAGTGAAATGGTACGAGTTTGCACCAAAAGTAACAAAGAATCAATATTTGTAGTTAGAGGTGTGTCGTATGTTTTTATAGAATAAGGGTGACAAGTGAGCACACAGCCCATTTGATGGTATTGATGCTGTGGCCCATATACATCTACATTTATCTTAAATTAAGAATGAAAATGTATTAATGCACCCCTGAGAACTAAGATGGAATGCCTCGTATCCAATAACAAGCTTTATGGTTAAAACATTAATTTTAAAAAATCCCGACTGCGTAATACAGTTTACTGAAAAATGAATAATTTTTTTTTCACATTAATAAGACCTTATGAGTTAATAAGATTATGCTTTGAAAATTTAAGGGAGAATGGATGCTAACCAGCTTTAAATCGTTATAGATCTTAAGAGGATAGAGTAAGTCAGCTCAAATTCTAATTTCGCCCCCACTTCCCCCGCGCGTCGTAAGCTATGTACCGATGTTTGTAATCACTAATACTGTAAGTAGAAAGGTCGTTAGACACTTATTTCATTAGGTTTATCATATTTATGCCTGTTTCTTATTTCCCATTTTAATTTTAATTTTAGCGTAATGTGTATTCTGATCGTAAGCGACACAACTTCTCCCTTCAAAAGCCTAAGCGATACTAACGGTGCGACAGGAATCAAGCTCAAGACGCCGATAGTTTAGGTAATTTCTTTTTACAGTGAAAATAATGTTATTTTAAAAAAAGTAAATAACATAAGCACTGCTTTATAGTTAGTTCAGTAGGTATGCAAAGTTTCATGATCTTATTTAAAGTATTTTATGAATAACAGCGGTTTATTGTTTATTTTGGAGGTAACTTTGGATTTTTTTTTCTATCGAGAAAATTTTACGAAATCGTGTTTTCTAACTCTAACATAATCATTAACATTAATCCTCAACTTTACCATATATTTATTTCAAAATTAATGCTACAATATTTTCGGCATAACGAAGGATCTTGCTAAGCCATTTGACATTATATTTCCCCCTTAAAAGTAAAAAAGTAAAGTTACAGCCTATATACATACGTCTCACTGCTGGGTACAGGCCTCCGCTCATTTCTGAGAGGGTTTAAGGGCAAGGAATAGTCCGCCGCGCTGCCCCAATGCGTGTTGGCGAACTTCACATGTCTTCGAAACATTTTTTTCTTTTTTTCTCTGACATACAGGTTTCCTCACGATGTTTTCCTTCACCGCCGAGCACGTGGTAAATCAACACTTGCAATGAACAATTTCATTGGTGCCAGTGTGGATCGAACCCGGTTTGCTCGCGTATTGTGAAATTTACAGCGAGCGCTAACCATCTGAGCTACCACAGCTCTCATAGATCTTAAATGGCCTCTAAAAATGAAAAATGATTAGGGAAACCCAAACATGATTTTCAAAGTATTCAATGATACCCGACGTCGATTTTCATTTTTTTTTCAGAATATGGCGTCTGGTTGTTGCCATATTGTATTTTAATTACTGTCGCCCCTCTACCCCTTTTGCGTCGCGCATTCTGGTAAAAAGAGAGGCGTGTGTACTTACGTGGTGTGCGCAGAGCGCCAGGCGCACGAGCAGGCGACGCGGCGCGGGCAGCGCACGCAGTGCCAGCGCCACCAGCCCGCCCGTAGACACGCGCTCGCCCGCCGGGTACGCGCGGCTGTCCGCCTCGCCGCTCCTGCATAGCCACAACAATCATATTCAGCCGAGGTGACAATAGTAAAATGAAACATATGTATCCATTTCAATAAATTAGTTCAATAAGTCAAGACTTATAGAAGTGAGTGCAGTGCAGTGAACCATTAAAATCAAACAGAAAAATATTTTCATCTATGGAGCAAAGGAAGTAAGAGCCAAATTAAGTCACTAATCACAGACAAGTGCTGCTAAAGAATGAGATAGAATACGGTATACACTGTTTCCTATTGTTTCGGTCACCTCTTTGTGCGGTGCTTTAAAAGTGGTAATTATAATTACTTTAAATAATTAAGGACGTGTATACGTTTCTAGAGAGCCGTGGTAGCTCAGATGGTTAACGCTCGCTGTAATATAACAGAACGCGAGTAACCCGGGTTCGATCCCCGCCGGCACCAATGAAATTGTTAATTGCAATTTTAAGTGCTGATTTACCACGTGCTCGGCGGTGAAGTAAAACATCGTGAGGAAACCTGCATGTCTGAGGAATAAGATAAAAAATATTTCCAAGACATGTGAAGTTCGCCAACACGCATTGGGGCAGCGCGGCGGACACTTTCCCGCCCTAAAACCCTCTCATAAATGAGGGAGGCCTGTGCTCAGCAGTGGGACGTATATAGGCTGTAACTTTACTTACTTTACTTCACTTTTATACGTCTCAAGCGCTGATTTGCTCAAAACAGTACTTTTCAAACCTATTACTGTCCATCAACCGCTTATCTTACACAAATGTTAATTACTCGTCTCCAAGTCAGATAAAGATCATAGATACACTAGCAAGATCAAGACCGAGAGTGCAAGACCAAAACCAAAGTGCAAGTCTAAACTAAATATTACAACTTCCATTGTAAATAGGATATATAAGAATATTTGCCATAACTTCCATATATGTTTTATCGTACATTTTATGTGTTTAATATTTCCAGTTTACTCCACTAATTTTACACACCAAATATAAAAAAGTCCCGGTAAACTGCACCATTGTCTGAAAAAAGGATTTACATGAATATTCCCGCAATAACTATTCTTTTCCGATATCGGTTAACACATGGTTGATATAGAGCTAAGCTATTTTTTTATATTTTTACTTTTTACGAGTACTTTGAACAGTTTTTGATTATTGTAAAATAAAGTTTAATTAATTATAGATATTAATTGTCGATCATTTATAATTTGTACCCATTAAAGCCGTAAATTTTTTTCAAAACGACGTAAGTAGTAAGTAACAGACTGAATGAGCGAGACCAAGACCATGACAACAAGTTTTGAGCAAGACCAAGATCAAAACCGGACAAGAAAGACTGAGTCTGATACAAAGACTGTCTTAGTCTTGTCTTGCTTTGCACATCACTACTCATAACTTTGGGAAATTTTGTGGTGTAAATAGTTTTAGGAGACTGTTTATATATTAATACAGTATTTATGGATGCTATCAAAAAAACTAAACAAAGGTTTATCTTAATTTCCCTTATAGCTTAAAATATCTGAAATCACTCACGAATTTGAGAAACATAAAAATATAATCAATTTGATAAACCCCAAGGAAAATAGTTACCAGAAAAGATATTTTGATTTAGGTTATACACATAAGAAATCAAAAATTCAAACGTGTTTTCATAAAAATGCTGTAGATAAAACTATTATTTTTCAACAATTTATGTTACGTAATTTAATACAATAATTATATATAATTTATGGCTTAATATGTTAGAAGAAAATATTTTTTAACCTTAACCTTTAAAATTTTAAGTAAAATAGCTTTATTATTCTTCTATAAATATCTTAAAAGTATTATAAAACTTCGCGTTTGGATCAATTCAAATTATCCCCTCATTACGATAGTGGTTCAAGCCGAGGGTCGTCTACTTTAGAGGGACCCTTAATCACTACGAGCACTCCCTCCCCCCTATCTACCCTCCATGTTCTGTCAGTCTATATCGACGGAGCTGTAAAGGCCACAGGGCCAACAGCATACACTTTCAGAAAAAAATATCTAATTAGACAGCCGCTAGGCTTTTCAGAAAGAGGTCACATCGCTTGGCGCTGCCATGCATACGAGGATGGTGCACTATTATAGCGTTATCGACAAGACTTAGAAAGTAAAATATTTTTTTTGTTATTTTTGATGGCAGACTATATTTATTTTATAATGACAACAAATTATGATTCAGAATAATAAATGTGGGAAAGAAAACCAATCCATTTTTAGCAAGTAAAAAAAAACAAAAAATCTAGAGAATTTAGCTGAAAGTTTAGTAAATTTATCTTATACTAGCTAGTCAGTCATGCATGATTACACATAAATAACAAGGTTTGTGTACTTACTAGTGTATAGTTTAAACTATGTAGTAAGCACACAAACCTTGTTATATATATATATATATTTTTAACAATGACTGACGTCGAGTTTGTTGGTGTGACAGCATTATGTCTGCTCAGTATAAGTAGCTGCTACGTGCAATTTATGGTTTTTATCATGAGGATCCCATATTACCCGCTCAATTTTCTAAACTTTTAAAATTTGTTTTATCATTACTAAATAATATCATTTAACACAGAACAGATTAATAAACGAATTGTAGTTTTTAAACAGAGCACGTTCTTTCTCGGTCGAACTTCGGCGGCAAGTGAGCGTGAATGTAAACACTTGCTCCTGCTCACGCTGCCCGTCCTTTGACTTCCGCACGACAGAAAACACTACCAAAAACATGTCCGCCATGATTCACGCACAAACAATATCGTCTCGTTTACTCACTAAAACACGTGCGAAGCGCAGGTAGTCGCGGATTCAACTGAGTGTGCAGGTAACTACAGCGTGTGAGTGAAACGGACTCTATGTTCATTACGTAGACCAATAACAATGCAGTAAAAAGTTATCGGTACTAGTTTGTTAAGAATATTCAGACTATAGTAGGCGTGCAGGTGAAGGTGCGCAGCGTCGACGCGGACCGCAGCGTGCCTGCGTTAGAGTGTGTATGTGTTCGTGTGCACTCACCCGCCAGCGTTAAACACGAGCAAGGCGGGGTAGGCGTGCAGGTGGAGATGTGCGGCGTCGACGCAGACCGCAGCGTGCCTGCGTTAGTGTGTGATGTATGTGTTCGTGTGCACTCAACCGTCAGCGTGAAACACGAGCAAGGCGGGGTAGGCGTGCAGGTGGAGATGTGCGGCGTCGACGCAGACCGCAGCGTGCCTGCGTTAGAGTGTGATGTATGTGTTCGTGTGCACTCAACCGTCAGCGTGAAACACGAGCAAGGCGGGGTAGACATGCAGGTCAAGGTGTTGCGGCGTCGACGCAGACCGCAGCGTGCCTGCGTTAGTGTGTGATGTATGTGTTCGTGTGCACTCAACCGTCAGCGTGAAACACGAGCAAGGCGGGGTAGACATGCAGGTCAAGGTGTTGCGGCGTCGACGCAGACCGCAGCGTGCCTGCGTTAGTGTGTGATGTGTGTGTTCGTGTGCACTCACCCGTCAGCGTGAAACACGAGCAAGGCGGGGTAGGCGTGCAGGTCGAGGTGCGCGGGCAGGTCGTGGCGCGCGGCGTCGAGGCGAGCAGCGCGCGCGCGCAGGCCACAGCGCTCCAGCAGTCGCGCTGCGCTCGCCAGCGCACGACTCGCGTGCGCACCGCACGACCCACCGCACACCGCCACCACGCTCAACTGTGCAATGTTTGTAAATTTGGACTTTAATAACACTACTTCTTATACTAAACTTAACTCTAATATATAAATATCCTGGGAGCTACACTACACTTCCCACCAAAAAATATTTAAAAATACAATCTTTTTTAATACAGTGTTATCAATTTCATATTTCAGTTCAAATATGTAAATAACGATAGACCGTAAAATTTTTTAAAAATAGAAGTAGATAAGGCTTCTACCTTTATTTAAAATTGTCCCAAATTGAATGTGATTTTTGGGCGACAACTACGGGTACGTGCGCTCCTCTGTGAGCGATTCAACTCACGTTTATGGCGACCGACCGACCCTTACAAATATGTGCGTGTGCGTAGTTAAATAGTAGGCGTTAGATATTTATGAATGACTATAAGGTAAAGTAATGCTTTTATTTATTTTTTATTATGTGCGAGCAGCTATGCAGGTCTAGGGAAGGAGACCACTATCACTGCGACTTAAAAGATCTCTTATGATCGCTGCTATGGCTATACTCGTAGTTCACTGCTAAGCCCTATGTCTTCAATGAATAAAAGGAGTTGCTTAGCCGTGAGCAATTTCACTTCTTCTGGGCGGAATACATAGTTTCCCAGATGAGTGTTACGGTTGCACATTAAGGGTTCGCAATAAGTTAGGATGTGCAGAGGCGTTTCTTCCGTTATGGAACAGAACCGACACATCCTTGAGTGCCTAGTCCCAGGATGGAATGCAGAGTCTTTTTATTTTTGCGAGATTTGGGCGTATTTTGCATTGTTTCGCGTGACCCGCAACCCATCTTAAGACGACCTTGTTGTTAAATCCCAGGGCGTTTAAACGGTTAACGCAGTATCCAACTAGCTTCAAGTTCACTAAGTTTGACCTCAGCGCTAGCAGTACTGGTTGACTATCAGTGTTTATATAAATAATATGGTTGACGTTACATAACTATTTGAACAAATCATCACCAAATGATAATACAATACGCCAAAAACAATATTTATAATCTATGTATAATGCTAAATGCCCAGAGTTTGTTATTACTTTTTTATGCTTGACAAAGGTAGCAAACTTCCCGGCTCATTCTATGACGTCATTATTAGTAAAAGTTGAAAACTATTAAAAATAATTACTGCTTAAAATCGTTAAAATTGGTGTTTGTAATATAGCCTTATGTATGCAAAAATAAAAAAGGACGCTTTAAGTTTACTTAGAAAAAAAAATTACACTGTTCAATTGCAAGTGCGCTAATGTAAATTACTGCGTTGTGCGCTCAACTTTAAACCCATACGGTCTAACGACTGTACAATGTACATATTTGCTTATACGCGTCTTATTTAGGTCACTTGTATTGAACTTACTTTTGAAGTAACGAACTAAGGAACGATCAGTAAATTACTATCACTGGAAAGAACCACATCTTTCATACTCTTCTATCTTTTTATTACTACGTTCTTCTTTCGCGATATCTAAACTACCTCAGTGTAATCTCAATAAATAAACTTAATACTTAATGGTACTACTTAACTCAGTAGAAACTTAAAGGTCTTACAAGCCGGCTCGAAAGACAATTTAAGAATGTCATTGATATATATGTACTACGCACTAGATTTGACATTCTGAACACTCACTATGTTCAAGTGAACTGTACTGCAATCCGTACACCTGTTATTGTGGCTTCGATATTCATGCAGTGCGGAGCGGCGTTAATAATAATTTTATAATAAATGAGCACATATGCAAAACAAACGAAAATTTAAAAAAAAGTATTCGATTAACAATACAATCTAAATAAAGAATTATTTATTATGACAATTTTCGCGCGTTTATATCAAGTGCGCATGCGCGACTCTACTGTTTCCCGCGCATGGGCGGATACAGATTAGAGCACATTTTTTGTTTGGAATAGCTTCTCTAGTACGTAGTACATAGGTATAACTCAATGAAGAATCTACAGTCGTTTGACAGTACAGGGCCCACCTTAAAACAAGTCTAAAATCAGTGATAAGTGGTATAACTCATTTTTAACTCCCGACGAAAAAGGGAGGTGTTATAAGTTTGACCGCTATGTGTATCTGTCTGTCTGTCTGTGACACCGTAGCTCTTAAAAGGGTGAACCGTGAACCGATTTGTGCGCAGTTTTTTTTTTTTTGAATTTAAAAGCATTTATGTTTCCTAGCGATGAATCATATACATGTTTTATAAAAATCGTTTGAAGATCATCAGCTTTTTGTTTCGGTGGTTTTTAACATTTTCAATTTAAGTTATCTACTAACGATTACGACTGGGCAGGTAACAAGAGGGTGACTCTTACCTATTTATACCACCAAATACCAGCTTTTTGTTTTGGTGGTTTTTAACTTTTTCAATTTTAATTATCACTAACGATTACGACTGGGCAGGTAACAAGAGGGTGACTCTTACCTATTTATGCCACCAAATACCAGTAATTGCACTAGTATAATTACAGGCTGTGAGGCATCATTTTAGTCCTCCGAAAAGACAACACATCGGTAGTTTTTTTTTTTTGTTTGAAATTGGCTAAAGGTGTCCATGCACTGCTGTAGTCATTTAACATCGGGTGCATTGGAACTTCGTTCGTCACTTTGGTTTTATAAAAAAAAAACAACAAGGTACTACAAAGTAACAAACTTACAGTTCCCGGTGTCCTAACAAATCTTCTAAAGGTGTGTGTTGTTAAATCAGTTATATTAATAATATTCTCGCATTCCCCGATTGTAGTGTTCGAGCCATAGTAATGCGTGTGGGCGGCGTCAGCCACGTGCGTACGCAGCGATCTCTTCAAATTATTGTGTGTGAAATTGTAAATGAAATCCCTCACTGACTTCGCGCTATAATCTTCTGAAAGGACGTACTGACTTCCTTGCTGAAAAATATAAATAAAATATTTGACATTTTTTTGCATATTTTTGAAGATTAGGCAGTATTATTGTAATTTAAACTTTGAAATGCAAAGAATATTTTAAAGTCTAATCGCCAAACCCGTAATACAATAACCCGCTCCAATAAGACGAATCTAAAATGACGGCTTGTACCCACTTGTATTTTACAGGTCGGATTGTCAGCAAATTGTTGTTTTATTTATTTAATCTATGATGATACCTATGATTAACAATGAGCTTTGATGACCTGTAGTGAATGATAAAAAATAAATTTTTGAACAAACATTTGGTGAAGTAAATTTCGGCGAAGACGAGCGAGGTTTCTTTTCAAAAAAAGCTACCAGAAGAGCATGCACAAGCATGATATTTTACGGAAAGACGGGTCCGAGTTCGACTGAAGCAGGGGTTTATCTCCAGGCGGAATGCAGAAAACGTGCCGCTTGCAACACCCGCCAAGAAAAAAGCTTTCATCTTCAGTCATCACATCAATAATAATTTTTTTAAGTATCTTAGTGCTAACAAATTTCCACATCCATCATGCTAAATCGCTTCTTATTATTTGGAACGCTTATTTATTATATTCTTTATTTTTTCGTTTTCATAGGTACTTAACGACTTTTATTTGCACATTAATGTACCTATATATAATTTTATAGTATTCCGGAAATTCCCCTAGCCTAGTCAATTTATCATCATCATGAAAAATCATTTCTCTTTGTGTTTTTTAAATAATAATTGTTACATTTTCAATTTTTTCTCTGAATATCCAGCCTTCACGATTCCTTTATGATGTGTAACTTGTTACTATTAAACAAATTTGTAAACTTTGTAAGAGTATCTCAATTCTTTTAGCATGCCGCCCCTTGTAAAGATAACTTAAACGGAATTTTTCGCGTTTATTTTATCATTAATAAATCCATCCATTCATTACAGCCTATAGAACTTCGCTGCTGAACATAAGCGTACGTTCCCACATAGGTTATTATTTTACAATAGAGTGACAAACGATCTAACAGTCCATTTGATGACCTCCAATCATCTTTAAAGGAAAAATGTCGCAAGTGCCTTCACATGCAGGCAATTATCTATACAGTTTTACTAGTACTGGCCTCTCTGACTTTTAAATTTATCTTCATATTTATTTTTAAATTATTGGCCTCTCTTACTTTTGAATTATCTACAGTGGTTGGCAACCACAGTTTTTTATAATTTTTCCTCATAATTTTTCATCTCCTGTTTTTCTTACTACAAACACGAGAAGATATGAGCAAGTGGATATTTTTACATCGACAACATGACTAGTTAATTAATAAACAAAAATTTTAATTTTATAATTTTTACTAATTTTCACTAAATAATAAGTATTCAAAGTCCATTATAATTTCTAAAGAAACGAAAGCGTGTAAATAAAGTTAGAAATAACAAAAAAAAATTAAAAAAACACAAACCTTACTGTCTAATATAACAACAGCAGTCATATCCTTCTTCTTAGTGATGTCGATACCAAGGGCCTCAGGGAAGTGATGATTCTGAACGCTGTCAACGGCTATCATATAAAGGCTAGAGTTGCTCACGCAGGAAAGTCCATGAATATGTGTAATGTTGCCATTTGTAACTTTTGCCGGGTATATTGGAGGACCTAGTTGTTTCGCGAATTGCATTAACCGACAGAAGTGTTTTATATTCTCTTGTATAAGGTTTTCTGGTGATAACGGATCACCTTCATAAGGCAACATTGATGTTTCAATGCTATAACAAAGTTTTTCAATTTATTATTTTCAGTTCCTAATTAATAAAAGTTTGTATTCTAAGTTCAAATTACATAAAGCAATATTAAAATTATCACAAATGCATCCTAGTTACTTAGAAAAGCAAGCAATGTTAGAGAAAGGGAAACATAGAATTTTGGATAAAACAATAATTAAATAATACCCAATTTTGGAGTCAGTAACTAATAAAGTAACATAACATTATATACAAAACTATAGAGTTAATAAGGTTAAATTTGACAAATAATCTCACATCACATCTAATTGAAATAAAATATTTTTAATTCAATATTATTGAAAGAAAATAAAAACAATTTAAAATAAGTGTTTTAAGCAAATATATAAGCACTCACTCATTTTCTCTTTACCTAATGATAATTACAGTCGACACTATCATAATAAATAACAATAACATCAGAAGTGCCCTTGTAAATTATAATATTGTAACAGACTACTTCTGAGCCCCATTGCCATACCTAAACACAAAATGTGTACATTATAAACAAAAAAAACCGCCTAAACTAACTTAGTTTCTAATTCTAAATAAGTACGAGGACGGCACTGAAAATTTCGGGAATCAAGGAAGTGACACAACGTTACTATTTAAAAATGTATTTATTGCTTTTCGAAGTATTCTCCGCGAAATTTGACACATTTTTCCATACGATGGAACCAATCATTGAAGCAACCATTCCATTCGGAAGTTGGGGTCTCCAAAATGGCCGTTTTGTAGGCGTGCACAGCTTCTTCAGGTGATGAAAATCTCTGTCCACGCAATTTATTCTTTATTTTAGGGAAAGTATAGAAATCATTAGGGCTTAGGTCGGGGCTGTACGGCAGATGGTCTAATAATTCTGTTTTCTTTCTCTAAACTCTTTTGTTCTGTGTGCGGTGTGAGAACTCGCATTGTCGTGATGGAGGATGATGCGGCGGTTGCAGTTCTCTTTACGGAGTTCAGAAACAACCTGTGGCAAACAAATGCTAGCATACCATTTTGCATTAACCGTTCTTTGTCCCTCAAGAGGAATAGTCGTAACATGGCCGGTTTTGGAGACAAACGTGGCCACCATTTATTTTGCAACACTCCGTGAACGAACAATTTTTGTTGGCTTTAACTCATTTTCGAACACCCAAACTCGTGACTGGTTTTTTGTTTCGGGTTCGTACGCACCTGATACGATGTTGTATACAGCATTTGAGGATCCTGCGTGGAATCTTTCGAGAGTTCTGACGCACTAAGTAACGCGAGCCGCTTTTTGCTCTTCACAGAGCGAATGCGGTATCCATCGGGAAAACAACTTTTTTACACCTAATTGTTCATGCAAGATTATTTGTATTTGACTCATGCCAATGTCTAAAGTTGCCTGAGTTTCGCGGTATGTCACATGTCGATCTTCCTCAATCAGCTTACGCACAGCATCAACGTTTTCTTGGGTGACTGCAGTTTTTGGACGACCTTGACGGGGATCATCACTGAGCTTGACACGTCCACGTTGAAATTCAGCAAACCAGCGATAAATTGTGGTTTTGGATGGGGCTTCATCACCAAATGCAGAAATCATCCGGTCAACACACTGTTTTTGTGTTAAACCACTTTGAAAGTCATAACAAATCATCGCTCTTGAATTTTATCGGGTCAATTCCATTTTCTCAACGACTAAACAAGTTTGACAAGACCGAGAATCTTTTTTTAAATAAATAAATGGTATTCGATTTTTTAAAACCAAGGAGTTTTCAATTAAAAAGATTTTAATATGACAGGAACAGTGAAAATATTCCATTCCCGATACTTTTAGTGCAGCCTAGGTAATAGAAATTTCGTACCTTTGGTTTTGCAAAATGTGTTAAAATCTTATGATATCAAACAGACGAAATAACTACCTCAAAAATTGCCAGAACTAAAGTATCCCAGACAATTAACAGAAAGCAATGTTTTTATCAGCCACGGTAATTACAGTAAATCCACCCAACAGGGCTTAGTTATTCTGACAATTTTGTTTACAAAATGTTCTCTGCAATAATTTTTATTGAAAGATTGAATTTATTCTACTTTTACCAGTAAATTAAAAAAACTTGAAGATGTCATACTAAAATTAATTACGTTACTTTTTTTATAGGATAAGGGTGACAAACGAGCACACAGTCCATCTGATGGTAAATGGATGTTGTGGCCCATAGACATTTACATTTAACCTCGATTAAGAATCAAAATGCAGATGCGTTGTCATTCTTGAAGACTAAGATGGAATACCTCGATTCCAGCACAACGGGTATATTTAAAATAATGGAATCAATCATGTCAGGCTAGTGAATTCGGATTTTTAATTAAAATTCTGACTGGTTTTACTGTTAGAATAACAAGGCAAAAGAGACCATTTCGTGTTATTTTTCGTAATATTTTTTCATAATTTGTGAGTAAGACCAGAAATTATAACGCATGTTTAATGTATATTATGTTATACTCTATTGACGTATACCTAATGCAAGAATGCCTACATTATAAAAGTAAATGTTGATTCAAAACCAAAATCCGATGTTTTTTTTATCTTGACCTAAAATATGAATGAGTGGACATGGCGTTAAACTCGACAACATTCATAATGATAATATATATATATATATATATGACTTAGCGGTCAGCCGCCGTAGAGTCTACATCACCTGAGGATGCCTCGTGTAGAGGCGAAACACGTGTCGTATTATCGTCGATGGTGTGTCTTTCCTGGAGTAGTGGTGTTGGGAGTAGTGGTGCCGGGAGTAGTGGTGTTGGGAGTAGTGGTGCTGGGATTAGTGGTGACGGGATTGGTGCATGCAATTGAGGAAGGGCGGGAGGTGCTTTTCAATCCAGGTAAGACACATCATTGTATTTAGTTGGCGGAAGGTCGCAAATTAATTAATTTCTTTATCATAATGATAATATTATTTGAACCATTCAACTGATGTCGTTTGTCTACGTTGACCTTTGTGAGGATATCTATGCTGCAAGAAATTTGAGGAATAGTTTTTCATTTCTTATATTTCTGTCGTACGTTGCCCAAATGACCAAACTGGATAGTCGAAAGATACAACTGCCGCTAGGACTATCTCAACTCAACCAAATCTAAGAAATACCTTTCGACGTTTCACATTAATCATTCCAGAATAAATTTGTACTCA